CCCACTTCTTCGGATGATCCGAAGAAGTGGGCTGTAGTCCACAAAAGCTTATACTCTAATAAATTTGTTAGTCTCTAAGGTGCCACAAGTACTCCTGTTCTTCTTTTTGCGGATACAGACTAACACGGCTGCTACTCTGAAACCTGTCAGGTACCTGGGTAGCTTGCCCTTGGATGTTATCCGTCACTCAGGTACCTGGAATTTTTTTCTGTGGGTATTAACTGGCATTGATACCTGTGTATCATTCCATTGAGCATTATCTGTCACTCTGATACCTGGATATCTTTCCCTGGGGCATTATCAAGTCAGCCCCAGATATGTGGGTATCTTTCCCTTGGGGAGTAGCTTATCTATACTCAAGTAAGCAGGTATCAGGCTCCCTGTAGCTCCGATAACTTAATGTTTTGGGTGCACATAGATCAAATTACATTTAGGATTAATAATAGATCACCCATCACTTGAAGAAGTTCAGCGACTTGTCTAAGAAGCTGGCAGCCCTTTTCCTCCAGCAGGCTTGGCTGCATAATTGAGAACAGCGGGGTGTCTATAGCTCGCTCCTTTCGAAAAAAATAGTTCATAGTTAATATGCATATTTGGGGAGAGCCCTGGATTCCGAGTCAGGTCTCCTGGGTTCTAATATTGACTTCAGCCGCCTGGGAATCAGTCTCCCTGGCTTCTAATTCTAGCTTTGCCACTGACTGTGGGATCTTGGGCAAATCTCCTCCCCTCTTTATGCCTCAGTTTCCCCATCAATAAAATGGGGATCATGACACCGGCCTACCTCCCACGGGTGTGTGTGATGCTTCTGTAACTAGTTTGTATAAGAAAGTGCTTTGATGACAGGTTATTATCATGAATATCACTGCAGATATCATAGAATCATAGAAGATTAGGGTTGGAAGAGACCTTGGGAGGTCATCTAGTCCAATCCCCTGCTCAAAGCAGGCCCATTGAGCGAGGCAGTGTACACACACACATAGTAAAAGACAGTCCTTGCTCCAAATAGCCGACAATCTAAATGGAGAACGCACAAAGAAAGGATTATTAGACCCTGTGTACAGACTAAGTGACTCACACAAGGTCCCACAGGAAAGCGATGAGGGAATTGAACCTGTTCTTTATGTACCTTAAGCTAGTGCCTCCTCCACAAGACTGGCCTTCCTATTGAACAGTTTTGTTTATTTCCAATCAGTTAAACCTCAGCAGGGAGGAAGAATGGCCCAGTGGTTGGGGCACTGATGTGGGAGAGCCAGGTTCAACTCCCGCCTCTGCTATGAACTTCCTGTGTAACCTTGGGCAAGTCACTTAACCTCTTAAATGCCTCAATTTCCCACCTGCAAACTGGGGGTCCCAGAGAAGACATGGGCATTGCCAGGATACCATCACCCATGGAAATGATGCCCCTACGCCTACATCGGTCATAGATTCCAAGGCCAGAAGTGATCATTGAGTCTGGTTTCCTATATAACACCGGCCATAGAAATTCCCCAGAACAGTTCTGAGAGCCTGTCCTGAGATATAGACATACAGAACCGGCAGCATAGCTGCTTCTAAACTAGTCATGTTGCTAGTGCTTATGCTCACACGTGCATGTATAACCCATTGGTGAGTGCATGGTACAGGTCCCGCTCTGTACTGAACCGCAGAGAGTAGGAGCTATGGGAGCTTGGTCCTATAGCAGCTCCTGCTTTTAGCTCTGGAGTTCCGGGTTGAGTCTCTGGAGTGTCTGCCAAGATGGCGGCCATCACCCGCATGCCACTCTATACCCACTACGCACTTCCTTGGGATACGTTTAGCCAACAGTCTGTGAAGTGATTGCTGTTCCGTGTCCTGTGAATGACCCTCCCTCTCTCTTTTCTTTCTCTCTCTCCTGCAGTGAGCCAGTCAAAGGTTACGTCCAGTCAAACCCAGCCTGGTACTGGGCTTCCTAGTAAGTATCTAATGCCTTTTCCCATTCTTAAATGGTGGAGCAGATTGTGTACGGTTGAATGTATTTGGAGGCACTTTTAGAGCACGCTGCTGCATCGGAACACCTGCCCCCACGTGCAGGAGAGGAAATTCACCTTTGAGACGAGAAACAAACATGAGCCTGTGGAAAACAAGAAGTGTACAACGGAAACCTCAGTGTAACCTTAGCTAGAGTGTTTGCTACTGTGCTGAGATGAATGCAAACAAAACACTTAGCGCTATCAAATGTACTGCAGGGCACTTTAAACAAAATATTGTTAAGGTCCCACCCGGCAGCCGGTTTCGAAATATCACCTTGTGTTGTTGAATTCAGTAGAAGTCAGAGTTGAGAGGATTTTCCAAGCTGCAGGGTGAAATGTTCAAATGCACCCAAGTGGCTTAGAAGCCTGACTCCCATTGACTTGAGGTCCTAAGTCACTTAGGCACTATAGAAAAGTTTACTCATAATCTAGCACTTTTTCAATTGATGAGAAAGACCAGGTGGCAAAATTCCTCTGGGCCTGAACAAACAGGAAGTCAGACAGATGATCACAATGGTTCCTTCTGGCCTTAGAATCTATGAATCTGTGAAACCCCTCCAACTTAAATGCTCATAGCTTGAAAATTACTGTACCAATTTTCTTTATTATTATCAATAATAATAATAACATAACAATAACAACAATAATATTTTTATTGTGGTAGCCCCTAAGAGCTCACCCATGGACTAGGACCCCACTGTGCTAGGCACTGTAAAAATGCAGAACAAAACAATGGACCCTGCCCCCAAAGAATTTACAATCAAATTATAAGGCAAGACACAACAGGTGATTACAGACAGACAAGGGAGCACAAGAAAACAATGAAATGATATTGGTCAGCATGCTGAGCAGAAGCCTAAGCAATCCAGCTGCTTGTTGTCAAATTTTCTTCCAACTTGGCCAGCTTGCTTAGATCTCAATAAGATCTACAAAACCAGCCAAGTTTGATATATCTGCTTTTATCCAGTATCGTGTTATCTCTGTGAAAAATTGGCACTTAGAATGGGTGCATTGTGTTCATGCACTCAAAAGGAGCTGCACTGATGTGATTCGGACTATATAAAAGAAAATTCACCTCTGAGCTGAGACCAAGCACGGAAAAATTCAGCCCAAGGGGAATTAGCTTGACAAAGTTATGAGCAATAGTAAAAGAGGGTTAGAATGGAAGCTGAACTCAACCTTGACCACTAAGGATATATCTACACTGCAGCTGGGGTGTGTGACTTGCAGCTTGTGGAGACATACCCACAACTAGCTTTAATCTAGCTAGTTTAGGTACCAATAGTGTTATGTTCACAGCATACACAGAGAAATTAGATAAAAACATAAATACCCTTGTTGGAAGGTTGCAACATAACACTGCTTTATTTCTTAGAATTCAGAACGATAACACATAAGAACCCAAAACAGAGAGGGAGAAAACAGGCTGCTCCCTGAAGCAGAGAGGCACAACTCACCCCATCTTACTATAATCTGTCTGCAAACTGACTGCTGGTGCTCCCAGATGCTTCACTACAAAGCCTCCTAGCCTGCATGCAAGTCCAAGAGAAGTTCCATCCCCCTACTCTGAAATGTATAGCTTGCAATTCCAACACAGTGCTCATTACATCAGAAGTAGCAGCAAGTGCCCGGTGGTGTGGGCTTCAGCTTGGGCAGCACAAGACCCACCCTGGGTACGTACTCAATTGTGCGGCCCACATGTCCTCACTGCTATTTTTAGTGAGCCAGTTAGGTCAAGCTAGCGTGGGTGTGTCTACATGAGCTGCAAAATCACATCCCTGGCCGCTTACATGTGCTTTGCCTGTTGCAATATTTGGGCCAGATCCTCAGCTGGTGCGAGTGGAAGTCAAAGCTGCACAGATTTATACCAGCTGAGGTCTATCTGTCTGTCAGCCATTAAAGAATGCAACAAGTATGAAGGAGGAGCTGAAAAGTGCTTGAGTCTGGATTGGAATGCACTGGATTCGAGCTCAGATCCCACCCGTTGGGCATGCTGACCAGTCATCAGGCCTGGATAATCATTGAGAATGTATCTTTTTTAGCTGAGGTGTTAAAAATATTTGCCCAGGCAGCATTTCCTGTGTCCTCTGCAAGGTTAGTGTCTGCATTCTGGCAGTTAATTAAGCAGGTGGAGTGTGAGATGCAAATGGCCATGAACAGGCCACACTGAACCTGTTTCTTATTAGTTCACACCCAAAACCCAGAGGTGAGAAACTAGCTTAGAGAAAGTTGGAGAAAGACCCAAAATAGCAGCCGGAGGAGGAAGCTGGTGATGATGCAGCGTTCATGCCCTTACAGGATAACACGTTCTCCTCAGGACTGGGAGCAAGGTTTGGTAGATCGGAGAAAGTCCCTTTTGAGAAGTGTGGATTCAGATCCTGCTTCTAATTAGGACCCGTACTTGTTATCAAGGCAGGTTCCCCAGATATCTCACCAGCTGCCTTTCCATCTCCAGACCTCCTTGTTTGTCCATATTCTTCCCTCGCAGTGCAGGGAACGTGTCTGATGCCAGTCAGTGTTCTTTTGCAGCCCCTACTTTGGGAAAGGGATCCTGGATGATGGGATTTCTATCTTTCCTTTCCTTCCCATCCATCCACTCGACTTATCTATTCTTTCTTTTCTTCCTTCCTTCCATCCACCCACACTTCATGTCTCTCCGCTATCCATTCTATTGATCCTGTTGCTTTATTTATTCCCTCTGGGCCTGATTCCAATATACACTACGTATATATACGTATACAATATACGCTCTGGCAGTGGAACGGGGGACCTTACATTGGTGTGACTGTAATGTCCACCCACTTAAAGGTCCCTTTATACTGCCAGAGAGGCAGAATGACGCCTTAGGGTAATGAGAATCAGGCCCCCTCTCTCTCTCTCCGTCTGTGGGAAGCCTCCTTCCACTCTTCCATGATTATTCCAGTCCCCAGCACTTTCTGTGGCTTCCTCCTGCAGGAGCAGAGCACAGATCTATCAATGGCGCATTTATCAGGGACTGTGAGGTTTGCCTCCCCGTTCGTGTTCCTTATTCATTAGACACATGAGCCGCCAGTTTTCTGATTACCATCAATGTCTTTGGAACCTGCCTTCTCACCTACTGCCGGGCTGCCTCAGGCACTAGGGGTTATCGGTTTATCGTTACAGGATAACTGTCGACCCTGTGGAAAAACACAGGGCCGTGTGATGCTCTGGGGAGGGATGGAGGATCCCTTCATTGCTGGGAGCAGGTCAACTCTCTGGAGCTGCTCAAGTGTGGCGATGGTCACCTCTCTGGAGATGGTCAATTCTGGACATGGTCAACTCTCTGGAGATGGTCGACTCTCTGGCAATTTGGTTGCTTGGTTTGTGGACCAGTTTAATGGGTTTTGGGCTGTGTGGGGTATTCTCCCCTCGGATTCCTTTTCCTGTTGAGTTTATTATTATTACTTATTTATGTATTATTGTAAAGGAAGGATAGTCTGGTGGTTGGGGCACTAACCTGGGATTCAGGAGACCTGGGGTTGAGTTCTTGCCCGGCTACAGACTTCCCGTGTGACCTTGAGCATGTCACATAGGCCTAGATCCTCAAAGGTATTTAAGTGCCTAACTCCAGGTGCCCAAATATACCTTTGAAGATCTGGGCCTTCCTCCCTCTGAGTCCCAGTTCCCCTTCTGTAAAATGGGGGTTGCACTTGGACACTAGGATAATGGGTGCCAGACAAATACCATACGGTTCATCTACACTGCAAAAAAAACCCTCTGGTGCTGAGTCTCGGAGCTCAAGTCAACTGACTAAGGCTCTCCCTCCGGGACTAAAATAGCAATCTAGACATTCGGGCTCAGGCTGGAGCCTGGACTCTGAGACCCACCCCTCTTGCCGGGTTTCAGAGCCCGGGCTCCAGCCCAAGCAGGAATGTTCACACTGCTAGTTTTAGCCCCGTAGCATGGGTCGAGTCAGCTGACCTGGGCTATGAGACGTGCTGCCGTGGCGCTCTTTCTGCAGTGTAGACGTACCCTAAGAATCCGGCTTAAACCTCCTCCTGTCTCCGATCTGGATCTGGATGGTAAAGCCATTCCCCAGGGTGTTCTAAGGGAGTTCGGCTGTATAGCACCCTGGTGCGTCAGCAGCAAAACGCAGCAGGAACAATCAAGCCCGAGAGTGCTCCATTTCCCACGTCAGCCGCATTCAGCGCCAGGTTCTTCCTCCGTCACCCATCCTTTGTCTCTTTCTTCTTTCTCACAGTGCCGTGTTCTTTGTGACATACTTGATCCTGGCTTGCTGCTCCGGACCCAGGTAAAATACTTCCTTCTGCTTTAAACAACCCACTGAACTGACGTACTAGTGCTTTCCTATCACGGCTCAAATCCCGTATGTTCCTGACTCATGGGCTGTAGCACACGGTATCCATACCAAAGTTGTATCTCCGAGCAGACGCAGCCCGAATGCTGCATTGTCTGTAGCAGAGGGGTTGCAGTCATGTCTCCTTGCCCGAGATTCATGGGGCCATGTGCTCCTAGGCAGCAGACATGATGCAGTTGTGTGTTGGTGCACGGAGCAGTTGTGTGTTGGTGCACGGAGCAGTTGTGTGTTGGTGCACGGAGCGGTTGTGTGCTGACGCACGAAGCAGTTGCAAGTGGCTGCATCAGAGTTGCAACTTGGTAGGAAAAGTCTAAGTTGTATTGTAACTGTAATAGCAGAGGTGATGCTGTTGTATCTCAGTGATGCCCAGCCGTAGATGCTGTTTATTATACAGTGAAAACGCTGCTGTCTTGTCCCAGATCTGGAGATTCCTGGTTGCTTCGCTGTTATATAGCGGATCCATTTGTGTCGGAACGTAGAAGTGCCCTGGGCACAACGCTATAGTTACCCAGCAGAATTAACGTCGCGTTGCCTCACCGGCATGTGCTGCACAGATCATTAATTATGTAATTCACATTAGGCAACGCATTATGCAACGCCTTTAAACCACTCTGCTCTTTGGATAGTGTTGCTGACTGACTCTTTTCACGTCACTTGCAGGAGGTATTTTCCATGGAACCTGATTCTCTTGAGTATCTTTGTAAGTAACGTACCGGCACGGTGACCGACCTGCCCTTTGGAGTGTCGTCAATTTCATAGAGATTAAGGAGTCCAGAAGGGACCATTGTGATCATCTGGTTAACGCAGGCCGTAGAGATTGGTCCAGTAATTGATACCTTAAACCCAATCCCTGCTGGTGGAACTAGAGCTCGATAAATTGAGATGAAGCGGTACTCTGTAAAAAAAAAAAAAAAATTTAAGGAGGAGGCAGGCCGAGTGGGGCAGAGGGATATCCGGGCCCCATGCAGCGATGTGGAACTAGGGAAGTATCATTCTTAGCCCTACGCATTGGGATGTGCCCTATTAAACCCCTCTTGTGGGCTTTACCCTTTGAAGGTTAGCATCCATCATCCAGAAACAGTCTCCATTGGGGACACCTGTTAAAGAGAAGAACAGGAGTACTTGTGGCACCTTAGAGACTAACAAATTTATTAGAGCATAAGCTTTCGTGGAGAGGTTTCGCTGCCTTCTTGCTTACGCTGGGTGCCGCAACTGGAGGAATTGAAAGACGTCTACAATAAGTGGGCGCCTGTCTCTGGACGGAGCCGAGCATCTGTCCGTAGTCAGCGAACGCAGCTCGCAGCGCTGCGGTAACTGAGGGGCGGATGCGGAGCAAAATTGGGCCGGATGCAGGAACGTCAGTTTCATCTTGGTTCCCAGCCTGTGAGCAGACTGCGGAATTGCAGCACCGCCCCAGCGCAGCCGCCAACTCCTGTCAATGGGTCGGGATAGCTTCTGCTGCCCCTCTGTGACTCCTAAGTGGTCCACGTAGTTAGGGTTGCCAACATGGTAATATTTAAAAACTGGACACTCCAGCAGGAGTGCTGGAACCTCCCTTGCCCCGCCTCTTCCTCCTGAGGCCCCACTCCTGCCCTGCCTCTTCCCCCCCAAAGCCCTGCCCATGCCCCACCTCTTCCACTGAGCCCCCATCCTTGCCCTGCCTCTTCCCCTGAGGACCCACTAGGGTGACCAGATGTCCCAATTTTATAGGTACAGTCCCAATTTTTGGGTCTTTTTCTTATATAGGCTCCTATTACCCTCCACCCCCATCCCGATTTTTCACACTTGCTGTCTGGTCACCCTAGGCCCCACTCCCGTCCACTCCTCCTCTCCCCTCCCCCAGTCACTCGCTGCTTTTCCCTTCCCACCCACCCCTTCCTGCGTCAGGAAGGTAGCCTACAGAGCCGGGGTTGGGAGCTGCAGCCACCCAACGAAGGCAGGAGGTGGCCCTGGCCGGTGCCTCTCCACCTCTCCCGCTCGCAGTAGCTGGACTTTGGGTGTCCGGTCAATAGATCTGACCGGACACTGTCAGGTTCTCTTTTCAACCTGACTTTCCAGTTGAAAACCAGGCACCCGGCCGCCCTACATGTAGCCTCACCACTGGGATAGGCCTGGAGGAAGCCTACACCCTTAGTGGCCAAGGGAACTGGGAAGTCTTCTGCCTTCACCCCCCCCTGCCTCCATAAAGGACAATTATGGGACAGCTCTGAGTAATTATTCGTGGAGTAACTAAGCGCATACCCCAATACTAATGCTTTCTCTTTCTCCCCCCCACCTCTAGACTCTCTCCATGTCCTATCTCACTGGAATGCTCTCCAGGTAGGTCAATCAGTTGGGCATCAGATTTCTTTTCCTTAGTTCGGCTCCACATCCCAGCTCTTCCCTGCAGGTCCCTTCCTTGGCTTCCCGCGTTAGAATTATCTGAGCGACGCTGGCCCTTTGCTCCCTTCTGAGCTGCTAAAATAGCCAAGCAAAACCTGACCCTTCCTTTGACATCAGCTGCGACCTCCAGTGGAGGCCGGTGTGAACTCCATGTGTTTTGCCAACTGCTGGCTGTGGGGAAGCTCAGATCAACTCCAGCCCCAGAGAGAGCCCGCCCGCCACCACGCGTCATTGCAGGGGCATGGGCTTTTGGGGAGTCCAATGCCACTCCTGTCGCGGCATCTCCAAGCAGGAGGTGCTGTAGGGAGCGGGGCAGGTAAGCTGGCTGTGGGGTGGCTCAGGGCTCTGCCATTCCTATCCTCTCCCGGCCTCTGTGTAGGGAGTAGAAGCAGTGTCTAGGGGGCAGTCCCACCTCTCTTAGTGCAAAGCACAGAAGGAATATTAACAGATCCAGGCTTCTGCCGGCCAAAGAGGGATAGAGGGAAGCAAATTGCAGGCTTGAGGCTGGCCTTGCCAGCAGTTTTCTTTCATCTATCGCAGAAGGAGAATCCACACATCAGTCATTTCTTAGGCTTTTCCATACCTATCTAGCCAGGAACCCCCACTGTCTAGCCATATCGGAAATGAAGGGTAATCTCAACCCCTGATGCTTGTTTGCCTGACCCTAGCATCCATGCTTTATCTGCCTACTTCTGCTAAGCCCCTGGCGCTCCTAATTGTCTCTCTCCTTCCATCCATTTGTGGGATCTAATTAGAAAGGTGGTTTCCATGTTCCTTTTGCAGCTATTACAACACCACGTCGGTTCTGTTGTGCCTGGGGATCACAGCCCTGGTGTGTCTTTCCGTCACCATCTTCAGCTTCCAGACCAAGGTTGGTGTTGATTTAGTTGGTGTTGGTAGATTTAGTTGGGGTTGACCCTGCTTTGAGCGGGGGGTTGGACAAGATGACCTCCTGAGGTCTCTTCCAACCCTGATCTTCTATGATTCTAAGGTGAGACTATCCTAGCATGCAGGGCATGGGGGCAGGGCATGCATCTCAGAGCGGGGAGGAAGATCTCGATAGGGAAAGAGGAGCTGACACTCATGCAGCAAATGGTTTGGCCAGGAAGTATGGATCTGGGAAAGCAGCTAAAGGCCGGGGGAGGGCGGACAGGTGGGATACAGGAGGGAATCTCGGACAGGGATGGGGGTTGCAATATGGGTGCGATATGGGTCCTGGGGAGTCTTGGATTTTGGGTGCAGTGGGATGACAATGCTGAGGTGGATAAGGATTGGATATAGGTGGTGAATAAGCTGTATAATAAGGATAGGATTTGGAGTTATAAGGTCCAGAGTGTGATGGGTGCTAGGCTACAGGATTTCGGGTGTAGGTGGGGTATGTTGAGTCCTGGTCTATAAGGTTAAGGGTACAGGATTTGGGGTAGGATAAGTGCTGGGGTAGAGGGTTTGGGGTATAGGTGTGGTATGAAGGGGGCTGGGTATAGGAGGGCTATGATGGGTGCTAGGTGTGGGGTATAGGTGGGGTCTGATGGGTGCTGGGTAGCGGGTTTGGGGTCTAGGCAGGGTCTGATGGATGCTGGTTATGGGGTTTGGGGTCTAGTCGGGGTCTGATGGATGCTGGGTTTGGGGTTTGGGGTATAGATAGGTTATGATGGGTGCCAGGTTTGGGGTCTAGGCAGGGTCTGCTGGGTGCTGGGTAGGGGGGTTGGGGTATAGGTGTGACATGAAGGGTGCTGTGTATACGTGGGGGTCTGATGGATGTATGATCTAGGTGGGGTCTGATGGGTACTGGGTAGGGGGTTTGGGGTATAGGCAGGGTCTGATTGGTGCTGGGTCTGGGGTTTGGGGTCTAGGCGGGGTCTAATGATTGCTGGGTATGAGGTTTGGGATATAGATAGGGTCTGATGGGTGCCAGGTTTGGGGTCTTGGCAGGGTCTGATGGGTGCTGGGTATGGGGTCTAGATGGGGTCTAATGGTTGCTGGGTATGGGGTTTGGGATATAAGTGGGATTTGATGGGTGCTGGGAATGGGGTTTGGGTTATAAGTGGGGTCTGATGGGTGCTGGGTATGGGGTATAGGCATGGTCGATGGGTGCTGGCTATGGGATTTGGGGAATAGATAGGGTATGATGGATGCCAGGTTTGGGGTCTCGGTGGGGACTGATGGGTGCTGGGTATGGGGTTTGGGATATAAGTGGGGTCTGATGGGTGCTGGGTATGGGGTTTGGGATATAAGTGGGATCTGATGGGTGCTGGGTATGGGGTTTGGGATATAAGTGAGGTCTGATGGGTGCTGGGTATGGGGTTTGGGATATAAGTGGGGTCTGATGGGTGCTGGGTATGGGGTATAGGCGTGGTCGATGGGTGCTGGGTATGGGGTTTGGGATATAGGTGGACTAGTGACTGACAGGGTGACGTGTGTGATGCTGGGTGAGTGGCTGAGCAGGGGGCGCAAAGGAGCCAACACCTCATCACTGAGTCCCGTGCGCCTTGCCCACGGCCAGCGCGCCAAGCCAATAAAACCAACGGCCCATTTTTACCTCCACAGTTTGACTTCACCTCCTGCCAGGGCGTCCTCTTCGTCATGCTCATGGTGCTGCTCTTCAGCGGGATCATCCTGGCCGTTCTCCTCCCCTTCCAATACGTAAGTGACCTCTTCTCTCTGCAGATCCCAGGTCGCTCCCATGGTGCCGCCGCTGCAGGGAGGATGTTCTTGTGCACGGGGTCAGATGGAGATGGCCCGTGGTGCAAACCACGATGCAGCTTGATTGCTAGCTGGCAGGGGCAACCTCTCTTATTTGGGCATGGGGGTTAAAGGTGGGTAAGGACCTCCCTCCCCACTTTGGCTGCTTCCTTGTCCTTCCAAACACCGGGCTAAGCTCATCCCTTGGAATAATTTGGATGCATCTCCCGCTGGAATCAACAGGTTCTGATCTCAGTTACAGCGGTGTCAGCCCAATGGTGTCACAGTGGATTGACACCAACGTAACCCAGATCAGAGTGACTCCGGGGGTACGTATGTGATCTGAGCAGCATTGCCTCTGGATGCAGCGAATATTTCCCTCTAGCTGCCCGTAAGTGGGTGTGTCCCTCTAGCTACCCATCAGTGTGTACCTAGGTGCCGACTCCGTGTGTGCTCCGGGGCTGGAGCACCCACACAAAAATAGTGGGTGGTCAGCACCCACTGGCAGCCCCATGGGTCAGCGCCTCCCCCTCCTACCCTGCTCCTCCTGCCCACCGGTGCTCCCGCTGAACAGCTCCTTCCCCTCCCTTCCAGCGCCTTCCGCCCACCATGATCAGCTGTTCCATGGCATGCAGGAGGCACTGGGGGGGAGGGAGAGGAGCGCTGGCAGGAAGAGGCGGGGGAGTGGGCAGAAAAAGGCGGGGAGAGGTGGGGGCTTGGAGGAAGGGGTGGAGTGGGAGCGGGGTCTGGGGCGGAGCACCCCCGGGATCTTAATAAGTCGGCACCTATGAGTGTGGATGTCACCTATGAGAAGTGTGGGGCATCTGGGCACAGCGAGGCTGGACAAACAAAGTGACGGCTTAGGGTGATAAATGGAGACTCTCAGTGAGTTGGAACTCACAGTAATTTGCCCCTTTATCAGCATTTTCCAGCCGCTGTAGAGTTTCCACTGAGGATAAATTGCTGAATGAGAGCTCCCGCGGGGAGGGGGTGGGCGGAAGCAGATACAAAGGCTTGGAGATTGGGGGAGCCGTCACAATCAATCCTGTTAATAATCGTGCCGCCAGGAAGTGCAAACAGCTGAGCCGCCAAACCTCCCATGGGTCAGAAACAGCTGCCGAGCGGGCGAAGGCGAAGGCAGGGAGTCGCCCGGGGTGTCCTATCGGAGCAGCCGAGAGTGAAACAGTCCAACTTCCCACTCTGAAAAGGGCCGGGGGAAGAATTGCTCAGAGCCGCTGTCCATTGGTGGGGCTGATTGGTTCAAACCGACTGGGTGTAAGATTGGAAGCTCTGTGGGGCAGGGCCTATTTTATGTTCTGCGGTTGTCCAGCGCCTAGCCCTGTGGTCTGTGACTGGTCCTGGTCTGTGACTTCAATGCATATAACAAGAATGAAAATAATTAATAACTCCCTGATGGCCAGTCCTGCAGTGCCCATTTCTCCTCCCCCCACGATCTGAGTAACTCCTCCTGAACTTCATGGAGTGACTCTGGACAAAGGTGTTTGTTGTTCCCGACCCACCTCCTGCTACGGGTGGCTAATGACTGAGTAGCAGCGACTTGAACTTCTTGGGGGGGAAAAATCCCACCCCCGCCTTGCTACTGCAGAGTTGAATAAACAGCCAAACCTTTTAAATCCAGGAGCGGAATATCCGCTTAGTGATTGTATTCAGAAAAAGCTGAAGTGCTGGCAGAGATAAGCTCAGGAAATTGCCCCATAGCTTGTTGAATACAAGCCGGGGATTGAAGGAGGTGATAGACAAGCCAGGTGCTCTGGGCAAATGTGGTTAATTGTATCTATCCCCATCCAGGGGGCAGCAGTGTGCCTGAGTGGTGTGGGTACTAGACTGGGTCTCAAGAGACGTAGGTTCTATTCCTGCTCCTGGCCTGCTGGGTGATCTTGGGCAAGTCACTTTCCCCTCTCTGTGCTTCAGTTTCCCCATCTGTAAAATGGGGATAATGATCCGGACCTCCTTTGTAAAGTGCTTTGAGATCTACAGTTGAGAAGAGCTAGATTATTATTACACATCTAGTTTTCTAATCTAGTCCCATACACATCTATCTAGCTAATTTTCCTTCCTATGCACTGAACCAGATTATGTCCTAGGGATTTGGGGGAGTGGCTGCCTGGAATATCTGGAGGTTCAGGTCTCCTCCCACGCCTCTAAAATCCTCTGAGCCGAATAAAGGTCCATTCCCTTATGTGTGGATGTCAGACATCAAAGATGGACATGGGGAACTAACTAGAAATGGCCCCCGTGCAGCATTTCAGACCGTCCAATGTTGAGCAGTGGCAAGGTCCACATTGAAAACTAACCCTGTTGAAGGGCATCAAGACAGGGAGTTTCAAAGTAGCCTAAAAGAGTTAAGCGCCCGATGGGATTGAGGTGCCTAACTCCCTTAGGGTGTGCCTACACTGCAGTTGGAGGTGTGATTGCAGCATCTATAGACATACCTGAGCTAGCTTTAATCTAGCTAGTGCGCAAACCAATTGCAGTGACACTGTGGCAGGACAGACTGCAGGGTGGGTGAGCTGAGTACAGACACACGGTCCCAGACTGCCCGGAACCCCATGCAGCCGTGGGTGCACTGGGGCCCGAGCTAGCTGGATTCAAGTTAGTTTGGGTCCGTCTGCGTATCTTGCAATCACTCTTGCGACTGCCGTGCGGACATTTTTGGAAACCCCAGCTCATGTGTTTAGTGTCCCTTTTGGATTAATGCCAGACAACCCTCCTCATTCGGCCCAAACCTCGGCCCTTTGTGCCTTGCCTGGGGGTGGCACTGATCCTAGATTGACACTGGAGTAACCGATAATGAGATCTGGTCCAACTGAATGAAAGGATTTGTTCCTTCCTGGGAGATTGCGTAGGCTGAAAATGCTGACCTTTGCCCCGGTGGCACCGACGGGAAAGGTACCGGGGGTCCTGCCTCCCATTCTCCTGCTCTAATGACTGCACCACATTCCCCTCCCCGAGCTGGGAAGTGAAACCAGGAGTCCTGGCTCATAAATCAACTGCTCTAACCAATCCAGCACACCCTGCCCTTAAAGCTTGGACTAGAACCCAGGAGTGGGTTCCCCGTTAGCTGCTTTAACCACTGCACCGTGCTGCCCTCTCAAAACTGGGTGTAGAACCCACCGTTCCTTGCTCCCAGTTACATGCTTTAACCACCTTCCCGTCTCAAAGCTGGGAATGAAAGCCAGGAGTCCTGATGGCCAGTCCGCTGGTCTAACCACTGCACCAGGAGTCCAGAGGCCCAATCAGTGGCTCTGATCCTTGCCCTGTATTCTCCCCTCCCAAAGCAGGGAATAGAACTCAGAAATCCCAATGCTTAGGCCACTGTTCTAGCCACTAAAGCGCTGGCTACTGATTAACATGTTTGAATAAAACCAGCAATATCCAAGGGCCACACGTGTGTGGCCAGTTCTTGGGGGATTATTGTCACGCTCACCTACCTCACCACCCTCCTGCCATCACCCCTCTGCCACATTTTCTGTCTCTTTCCACTCTGGCGGACGCTTCTGGCACGCGACGCTGTTCAAGTCCATCAAAGGTGTTTGTTGTTCCCGACCGACATCCTGCTACGGGTGGCTAATGATGGTGATTGATTGCAAAGGGGAGGAGTGGGGGTGCTGGCATCCCAGCCTTTGGCGTCTTGTTCTCCATCCAGGAGCTTTTATTTTGCAATTCTTCGTCCCTGAGTGCTCAACGGACACTGGGAAATGTTGACAAAGGAGGACGTTGCCCGGAGTCTGACAGCCTCCATTAATCACTTTGGGGCCGCAGTTGTTTACCTGTATGCGACTGGGTCCTATTGGCTGTTCCAGGGTTCCCCAAGCAGTTGGGCACGTTCCTTTAGGCTGGAGACGGCTGCATTCATAGAATCATAAAATTCATAGAATCCTAGAATATCAGGGTTGGAAGGGACCTCAGGAGGTATCTAGTCCAACCCCCTGCTCAAAGCAAAACCAACCCCAACTAAATCATCCCAGCCAGGGCTTTGTCAAGCCGGGCCTTAAAAACCTCTAAGGAAGGTGATTCCACCACCTCCCTAGGGAACCCATTCCAGTGCTTCACCACCCTCCTAGTGAAAAAGTTTTTCCCAATAGCCAACCTAAACCTCCCCCACTGCAACTTGAGACCATTGCTCCTTGTTCTGTCATCTGCCACCACTGAGAACAGCCAAGCTCCATCCTCTTTGGAACCCCCCTTCAGGTAGTTGAAGGCTGCTATCAAATCCCCCCTCACTCTTCTCTTCTGCAGACTAAACAATCCCAGTTCCCTCAGCCTCTCCTCATAAGTCATGTGCTCCAGCCCCCCAATCATTTTTGTTGCCCTCCGCTGGACTCTTTCCAATTTCTCCACATCCTTCCTGTAGTGTGGGGCCCCAAACGGGACACCGTACTCCAGACGAGGGTTCACCAATGTCGACTAGAGGGGAATAATCATCTTCGAGCACAGCGGCTTTAAGCAGCTGTCAGTACTGGCCTCTGAATGGAACCTGTTCTTTCTTGGAGGCCAAGTGCTTTCGCTCATGACTTGAGGACACGTAGCGACTAAGGCCAGCATTTTCCAAAGGGGCGTCTGAGGCGTAGTGTCTCAGTGTGAGATGCAATGGGTCTGCCATTCAGAACGGCAGAGCATTCGCCGTGCCAGCAGATGTCAATGGCAGCCAGGGGTGTGCAGAAAGGGGGGGCAAGCAGGGGCACCCCCAGTAATCGTCGAGAGTCCAGAACTCCTCCGGCCCTGGGGGTGGGGGGTAGAGGGGGAGAGTGAGCTCCTGCCGGGGCAGTGGGGGGAGGGGATGGATGAGGGAAGAGCGAGCTCCTTTCAGGCCTGAGGGGTGGGAGAGAGATCCTGCCTCTGAAAGCAAGCCCCGTAGGGTGACCAGATGTCCCGATTTTAAAGGGACAGTCCCGATTTTTGGGTCTTTTTCTTACATAGGCTCCTATTACCCCCCACCCCCGTCCCGATTTTTCACATTTGCTGTCTGGTCACCCAAAATCCTGATCCACGTGGTCCCTTGGCCTAGGTGTGTGTGAGATCATGCCACTTCTAAAGGGTCATTGTGATCCTTATGTGGCAGGCTCACATGCTCAGTGTGGTCTGGTGGATCATGTGCTAGCTTAGGCAACAGGCGACCTCGGTTCTACTCCCATCTCTACTACTGCCTTGCTGGGATACTGTGGGCCAGTGTCAGTGCCTACGCTGCTTTCCCTAGACTGTGTCCTCCATGGTGTGAGTCAAGCCCTCCCTTCTTGCTGGTTGGGTTTCTTCCTAAAGCTGACTGGTGCATTTGTCTATTTCCTGTAGGTGCCGTGGCTCCATGCCATATATGCCGTGCTGGGTGCGATTGTCTTTACTTTGGTAAGCGGCGCCGAATCCCAAGGAATGGGAGTTTGATTGATTGATTTGGCCGAGTTCAATCAGGTAGCAAATCGCCTGTCCCTTGCAAGGCAAGACGAGCATGGGGAAGGAGAGGGAGGGGAGTTGTACTGCAGGAGACCTTCCCCTTCAGGAGACCTTCATGTTCAAAGGTGGATGACGAATAGCAATCCATGGGATTATCTGGGCCTAGTCCCTAGTGTGCCTGTGTCTTTATCACCACATCAGGGCCGCGTCTGGCACGGCTGGTGGCCAGGGCCGCCCAGAGGATTCAGGGGGCCTGGGGTCTTTGGCGGCGGAGGGCCCCCGCCGCCAAATTGCCGCCGAAGACCCGGAGCGGAAGAAGCTCCGGGGACCCGGGCCCTGCGAGAGTTTTCCGGGGCCCCCGGAGCGAGTGAAGGACCCTGCTCCAGGGCCCCCCAATTTGCAGGGCCCGGGGCAAATTGCCCCACTTGCCCCCACCTCTGGGCGGCCCTGCTGGTGGCTCTGGTTTAAGGCCAGCCACGGTATGGAACAGCGGAGGGAGTGAGGTTCATCGGCAGAGCTGGGAGAGCTTTGGCAGAGCGGTGTGTGTCTCTGGGCGTGAGGCGGTCAGGACTAGGGTGGGGAGGCAGCGAGGGAGAAACCTGCTGGTGACCGAGCAGCCTGAGAGGAACTCTGCGGAGCTCCAGGAAGCAGAGACCTTCAGCGTGGAGAAAGATTTGTTTGGATATTGGTTGGGAGTGGGAGGTACAGCGGGGCCTTCATTACCTCGAAAGGGGATCGAACTTGTAAATGTCCTGGCCAGGGGAGACCCAGACGGAGACAGGCCACTGTGGGGCCAAGGAAGCAGTCACAAGGGGGCGCTGGAGGGAAGGGCCCCTTGCAGTCCTGCATCCTGCCCCAAGGTGAGGCCCATGACGAGGGCACTGGCAGAGCTGTGGGTGCTGGCAGCCCAAGACTAGAGTAGCAGGGTGTGGCATGGGGGCAGGATTGACATCACGTGGCAGAGCCATGTGTAGAATTTAGGACAGAGACAGCAGGCAGAGGGGGGTGCTCCATTGCAGCCCGGGGGGGTGTGTGCCAGAGCTGTGGGTCCCATGCAGAACTCCCTGCCCCTGCTCCTGAGGCCCCTACACTTTTGGGTCAAAAATACTTGTTGAATTACACCAAAACCAAACGCTGGGCCCGTACATGAGGGAGCTTCCAGGCAGCTTATGCAGCAAGTGTTTCTCCAGAGCATATTTTAGCGGAGTCGCGTTTGCTGTTCGGAAAGCAGGAAGCACCCGCCGGAGGAGCGTGCGGGGCCGCCCCAAATGGGGGGTCAGGAGGACACCCGCCTTGGGGCGAGGCGGAGCCCACTGGGAATAACAGCAGTTGAGCAATTTGTTTAATAGCTAATAAAGTCAGTTATGAAGAACTCGGCTGTTTTACGATCGCCTTGTAAAATGTGCCCAGGGTTAAATGGAATAGAACTGGCTCGTAAACGTAGACCGTCAGATCCTCAGCGGCTGAAGCCGATGGACCGGGCCTCTATGGCCAATTATTATTTCTGTCCCAGAAGCCCTTAGGAGACCCAGACCCCATTGTGCTGGGCATTGCATCTTCACACACGCTGCCCCAAAGAGCACAGTGACACCAGGGAAGGCGCAGGGACGCGGTGAAGGTTAATAGACAAGACAGACGCAAGGTGGTAGGGGGAATTGGAGGCTCAGAGACCAGCCCACGGTCACACAGGTTAGCAGCAGAGTCAGCAGTACCATTCAGATCCTCTGATACCCCATCTCCTAGACCGGGCCCCCTCTCTGCACAGTTTGGCAAAGTCACCCAGTCACCGCGCCGGGAGGGGAAGGGTAGAATTCTTTATAGCTGTAGCGTGACTGCACCTGGAATGTTGCGTTGGGTTCAGGACAGCACGTTACCAGACAGGTATTTGCTCAAGTGGGAGGAAATGCAGAGAAGAACAACAGAAACAATCACGGGGCTGGGGGAAGGGACTCGCAAGGAAGACTCAGGAGCGCTCCTTGGCCAAGCAGCGGCCAAGACGGGGCTGCGGGGGTGAGATGATGGAAGTCCCTGAAGGTAGTTATCACCAAGGAATCGCTGGGGGTGGGATATAACTGGGAGGAATGGGATGAAATTAAGAAAGGAGGTAACTTCAGCATAAGTTGCTTGACCACGAGACCAGTCCGGGTGTGGCGTTATCTCAGTCAACCTGTGGAACTCCTTGCCTGAGGAGGTTGTGAAGGCTAGGACTATAACAGGGTTTAAAAGAGAACTGGATAAATTCATGGAGGTTAAGTCCGTTAATGGCTATTAGCCAGGATGGGTAAGGAATGGTGTCCCTAGCCTCTGTTTGTCAGAGGGTGGAGATGGATGGCAGGAGAGAGATCACTTGATCATTACCTGTTAGGTTCACTCCCTCTGGGGCACCTGGCATTGGCCACTGTCGGTAGACAGGTTAATGGGCTAGATGGACCTTTGGTCTGACCCAGTACGGCCGTTCTTATGTTCTTATGTTATCTCCCCAGGGGACATGGCCAAAGCTCAGTGGGTTGGAAACTGCAAACTGGACAAGACAGAGCCCTTGTTTGTACGTGATGTGGCTCAGGGCTGTGCCACTGTGGTGAGAGAGGGCAGTCCTGCTGGGCGCAAAGGCAGAGGCACTGGCCCGATGGCCCGTGAGCTGCCCTGGGGTTATCAGAGAAATCCGTGGCAGAGGTGGAGCAGAGCCAGGCAAAAGTTTAGCCATAACCTGAAACTCAGGACAGGCTCGTAGAAACAGTTGCTGAAGGATTGCAAAGCTCGGGAGGTCATGAGTTTCAGGCGTGAGCCTGCAGGGTCCCTGGTTCTAGGCCCCCCTCACCCTTGTCCCACTGGAACATAGTGACCCTGATGCTTTCAGTCATTCCAGTCCCCTTCATCTGCATGTCACCTCATCTGCCGCTGGCACCAGACTCTAGCAAGGTGGGTGGGCACTGGGGGTGGCGCTCAGGCAAAGAGCTTTAGCTGCGTAGTGACTGGCTGCAGCATAGCCTGGAAATTAAGATTGGGCTCTCAACTCCCACCCGGAGAGAACCCTCCCTCCCTTATCTTTGGCTGGAATTGAATTACCCAGCACTATGGGCAGGGCTGGAATGAAGCCAGTTCGGGTCACTGTTGTGACCTGTTTCCATGAGCCATACTGGGAGCTGCATCCTTAACAAACAGGGCATAATTCCTCCTGCATCTCCAACCGCCGTGGGAATAATCCAATGCACTGCGGGATAATGGGGTGGTAGCCTGGCCAAATCTCCTTTTGGAGTGTAGCAATATCTATCCATCCCCCTACACAAGTCATCCCGCAGGCCTGGGGAAGAGTAAGGACTAGAACCTAGGTCTCCTAAATTCCCATCCATGGCTTTGTCCAATGGGCCACACTGCCTCGCCAGAATAAAGTTTTGAAGTGTTGTTGTGGGGTGTTAAACAGCAGCTGAGTTCCACCCAAGAACCAGCTGCATTTTAATAGTGGGTATAATTAAGCAATTCTCGTAACTGTTGATTGGGCTCCTTGGGGGTGAAAGGGGCCTGTGCCAAGGGGGATTAGGGGTTTGGAGCGGGTCCCATATGAGGAGAGATTAAAGAGGCTAGGACTTTTCAGCTTGGAAAAGAGGAGACTAAGGGGGGATATGATAGAGGTATATAAAATCATGAGCGAAATAAGGAAAAGTTATTTACTTGTTCCCATAATATAAGAACTAGGGGCCACCAAATGAAATTAATGGGCAGCAGGTTTAAAACAAATAAAAGGAAGTTCTTCTTCACACAGCGCACAGTCAACTTGTGGAACTCTTTGCCAGAGGAGGTTGTGAAGATTAGGACTATAACAGGGTTTAAAAGAGAACTGGATAAATTCATGGAGGTTAAGTCCATTAATGGCTATTAGCCAGGATGGGCAAGGAATGGTGTCTCTAGCATCTGTTTGTCAGAGGGTGGAGATGGATGGCAGGAGAGAGATCATTTGATCATTACCTGTTAGGTTCACTCCCTCTGGGACACCTGGCATTGGCCACTGTCGGTAGACAGGATACTGGGCTAGATGAACCTTTGGTCTGACCCAGTACGGCCGTTCTTATGTTCTTATGTTCAAGCATGCGATGCATTGCCTGATCCTCTTTGTGGGTCTGTTTTCCCTCTCTCTCCCCGCAGTTCCTGGCATTTGACACGCAGCTGCTGATGGGGAACCGCCGGTACTCACTGAGCCCAGAGGAATACATCTTCGGAGCCCTCAATATCTACCTGGACATCGTCTACATCTTCTCCTTCTTCCTCCAGCTCTTCGGCTCCAGCCGGGAGTAAGCGCAGTGAGAAAGCGTCTGTCCTCGCTCGGCGAAACAGAAAAATGTTAAAAAAAACAAAACAAAACAAAAAAAGAGGGGGAAAATATAGCCAACCTTTCTGGTCCCTTTGCCAGCTCCATTCCATCTACTGAGCAACCCCCCTGGTTCCTTCTGCAGCTTGTACATATGCTGTTAACCCTTTGTGACCCAGAAAGCAAACTGGGGTGGAAATGCTAGGTTTCCTCCCACCCCCTGAAATCAAACCAGAGCAGGGTCGGTAGTGCCGGCGGGGCAGCAGTCTGGGCTCTCCCATTTGCAAAGGTCACTAGGGTTCCTCATCTGGCTTCGGCACATTATTGCATGTAGGCACGTTACCGTGTGTGCTACTGAGATGCAAAGCCCGGCTGTGAAAGGGAAAAAGATGGGGGTTGGGAATTTGCTGGGGTTCTGGCAGGAGAACCAGCAGCTGGACAAAAGAAGGGAGTAGATTAGGGTTCCAGGACTGCCTAGGTATCCACCTTCCCTCCTCTCTCCTGCCTCCATGCACAATCTGAGTCATGGGATTGCAGTAGAGAGGCAGCCCAGAAGCGAAGGGCGCCTCTTGGCAGTCCCGCTAGCAGTCATCCACCTGGTGCGAGAAGAGCGGCTCTCCATCGGGGAAGCCCCCTAAGAGACATCCCCAGCACCCTCCAGGCCTGCCCGTGTCTCTTTTCTACCAGACCATAAAACTGAGAACACCCTTTCCTCCCATAATGCCTCCCAGGCCAGGCTGATCACTGATGTGGGACTCACTTACCTAGCCAGCTGCCTCAGGGGATGAGTAGACTGGAGCTGTCTAAGGTATGGGCCCCAGGCGGGACTGCAAACAGGTGTCAAGGGGTCATGATAACAACCTGCCCGTTCCATATCACTAAATATGGAGGGAGGGTAGGTCCCAGCTAGATGGAAAAGGTTGAGAAGCACCAGCCTATGGAAAGCCAGGATCCCTGTGGCCATGGGGAAGATGGTGAGATTGGACAAAGACCCTAGGGACTCATATGGACTCATTAGTGTCCTACAGTAATGGCTTCGAACTCTAGATGCTCCGTCGTGCAGTGCGTCCGGGGTCACCACCACCACAAATGCAGTTGTATTGCTTGGTGAGCATGCCCAGCTTGGAAGGGCAGAGAGGTGTCTGCACCACACCCCGGCGGTACTGCCCGGATGCCTCCTATGCGTGCTCCCCAGCTGCGGGCGCTGGAGAGGTCTTCTTTCTAATCACAGGAGAGCATCACGTCCACCAGCAGGGTTGGGTGGCATTAATACTGTTGAACAAGATTCCCTGACCCCGCCCTCCTCCATCGCAGCAATGCAGCAGAAGTCTCCTCCTCCTGAGGCGACTTCTGAGATGCTGAAACTACGGAGTTTGTAAACACTGACGTCACGTGAGTCACCCAAGAACGGGGTGCCAGCTGCAGGCACCCTGAAGGTGGATCTCCATGCAATTGCCAGGCCTGCTACCTGTCAGCTGGCACGAAGCATGAAGAACCAGGGGTTTCTCGCACTACCCTTTGCTGGTGAGCAGATGTTTCATCACCTCTCCACGGAAGGCACTTAGTACTCAAGGAAAAATAGCTGACCTGCGGCCTGCCGCCAAGGAGGCAGAGTCTGATCAGATCAGCAGGGACAGAACCAAATGAAGGAGGAGCTGTGTCGCGGTTGGACAAAATATCGACGTCCCCATTTAAAAAAGTCCATTCTACCAACATGAATAACGTGGCAGAGGAGCTGATCTAGGGTTATCCTGCCCCATTGCTGCACCTTCAGAGGAACCCAGTGCAGTTCTGAAGAAGGAAACTGAGGGCTACACCCAGGGGTACCCAAGGAATACCCACGTCATTGAGTGAGGGCTACCCAGGTGGCATTCCGAGAAACCACTTGGAATAGAGTGCCAGGTCTTAGTGCCCTTGTACCAGGTTGTAGGACCCTGAGGACAAAAAACAGCTGTCCTGCTGACTCATCCTAGCAGCCAGATCAGGTGGATCCTATTAGCGCCAACCCAGGATATAAAAGGGATTTTCGAGTGTCTCCCTGAGACAGAGAAAGCACTGGGGTCAGGGACGGAGGCGGTCCTTCAGGGAGCAGTCGCAGAAACAGCAAAACTCAGGAGCAAGCTCCGGTGACACGTTTCTATTTATTGTTATTGAACTTAACAGTAGAGGGGGCCCTAGGAAAAAGGGTAAGTTTGGGCTCAAGCCTGGGTGTGTGAGGAGAAAAGGGGGAATGCCCACGCTGCTGACACAGGGTATCACCCTGAGAAATGCCCACTCTCCGGGTGGATCGCTGAGGACCACCCAAGAACCGCCCAGGCGGGGCTCTCTCTCACAGAACTATCCTGAGCTCATGCTATGAAACGCCAGGTAGTAAAAGCAGCCCCTTTGCTATTCAACTATTCAAGCCCTCGTTTTCAGCTCCCCTGCCCTCCAAGTGGGGCTGCCTTTGGACGCCTCGGAGTGCACCAGTATCTTTCCATCTTCGCCCTGTTAATATCCCCCATTTGGAAATCAACCGGCTAATTAACTGCAGGGCCCCAGGCTGAGATAAGATAAGAGGCATTTAACTCTTATTTAAAAGGCGATCCTTCCCCCTGATACGGCCCTTTATCTGAAATCTCCCTGGGAAGACCAGGGCATGTGCGTCAGTGGGTTGCTTCTAGCCATTCCAACCCGCTGGAGGGGGAACCCGTGCCAAGCTCTCCATACTGTACATTCCTTCTCCGCTGCTCTCCGGCTTCCCAGGCGTGCACACGCCTTCCACACGTGCCTCGGCCCCATGCTGAGCAAAGCAGAGGAAAGTTACTGTGCACAGGGTTGTAGGAAGTCAATCTCGGGCTCCTTTCCTGCGCCTCTGCTGATCTCCCCGTATTCAGAGATAATCCTGCTCTTCCCACACACCCTTTCCCTTCCGGTTCCTTATTGCCTGATCCAACTGCATCACTTTTGTACGCATTCGGGACACGGCGCGGACACTCAGAGACCAGGGGGACGGGCGTCTGCGGAAGGCCCCATCGAGAGGGACTTGGAGATGCTGCAAAGTGCAGCCCCTCTGAACTTCGCAGCGAGAATGGGGGAGAGTTGATGGTGTCATTGTGGCTTTACACCCGTGGTGGCAGAGAACAGGATTTGGCCCCTCTGGGTTGTGTGTCGACATGTCTAGTGTACTCTACATCTGCAAGTGTAGCCATGCGCTTAGTCCTGCCTCGAGTGCAGGGGACTGGACTAGATTTCCAGTTCTATGCTTCTATGTCAGTTGGAGGTGTGGTTGCAGCTCGGGTAGGCGTACCTCCGCTGGCTTGAATCTAGCTAGCAGGGTTAACAATAGCAGTGAAGTCACAGCAGGGTGGACCCCGCCATGGGCTAGCAGTGTGAGTACGTACCTGGGTTCCAGGTGGGCTTGAACAGCCCGTGCTGCTGGGTCATTACCGCTGTTTTTAGCTGTACTCGGTAGTTGAGGGCAGGCCTACCTGCCCCCATTACAGTATAGACTAATGCTGGGTGAGGATCCTGAGAGATCTGCCGGCAGAAAGTGGCAGCTGTTTCCTCAAGTTATCCTTCTTGGTAATAATAATTAGCACTTAACATCTTCAAAGCTTTTTACAAACATATAGGCCAAAATCGTCAGCCGTGGCCAGTGAGTTTTATTATTATTATTTGTGTTGCAATAGCTTCTGGAGCCCCGCTCATAGATCAGGACCCTATTGCTGATGGAAGCTTAAGATGCTAAGAGTTTGATTCCCTTGCGTTCTGGGGAGATCAAAACAGCAGACGAGATCAAGTGCTGGCTGCAGAAGCTTTCCAAGCCGGGCCCCAGTTCACCAGGGCCCTGCGTCACGAGTCTTCATTGACACCAGTGCAAAGTGGGCACGAATCACAGGTGTAAATGATGACATGTGGTGTGGATTTAGCAGAGAAGCAGGCTTGAATGCTACAAGGTGAAAGGAAACAGCTGGGTTCATACCGGTCCCGGCACAATTTGCTTCCCAACATATTTGCCCTGCCTGTCTCCTTGAGAATGAGTGCTTACAAAAGACAACCCCTAATCCACAGCTTCATTTATATATGAAATTCCTATGGCCTTCAAAGGAAGCTAATAGGCTGTTATATATTGTAGCAAATCCACGATCACATTGGCTCTTCCTGTAGGGTGACCAGATGTCCCGATTTTATAGGGACAGTCCCGATTTTGGGGTCTTTTTTTTATATAGGCTCCTATTACCCCCCTCCCCTCACCCACCCACTGTCCCGATTTTTCACATTTGCTGTCTGGTCTTCCTAGCTGTTGCTGCACGGCACACAGTGGCCATTTAGAACTTCGCGGCGACAGTAGGGATAGAACATGGATCTTTCTAATCCAAATGCCCAACCCCCTGGGCTAAAGGAGAATCTCCATTAGCTGCGGGCAGTATAGGACCTATGACACACAGTGAAGATAGAATTCTGTTTCTATCTCGTAGAGTGCGATGGTGCACATATATATTAGCTGGGTCAGTGCAATATGTTGCACAGGATACTGCAACCCTTAAAACAATACAGAGAGGAGGGTGGAGGAAGGGAATGAAGTGCCCTGACCAAGAAAATTATTGAGCACTTGGAAACAGGGGACAGATGCAATGGCAGGGGAGAAATTGTCTGGATATCCCCCTCCCCCATTCCCTAGTCGAACCCTCTCTGCAAGGTTCTTAGCATAAACTGAAATCACAGTTTCCCTCATTATCTAACCCCCCAGAGAGCTACTGCAGAGAAGGGCAAATGCTTCCCTCTGCACCTACGCCAGGGCTGATTTTCGAGGTGTTAGCAGCCTCCTAGGTTGCAGTCTTCCAGCCCAAGAAGGACCCGGATCTGGATACTCATATACTTTAGGGAAAAGTCCAGCTCCAGGTCCAAACTTTGCAGCTGCCTCCTGTCTCTACAATGGGTTGAATCAGAACCCGGAATCCAAATGCCTCCTGGATTTGGGGAGAAATTTGGATCTGGCTCCAGGTCCAAACTTTGCCCCCTCTCTCTACAAGCGGCTTGATCCAAATGCCAGGTATACTTTGGGAGAAGTCCAGATCCGGATCCCCACTTGGCCCTATCTCTTCTGCAGTGTGGAGTGATTCACCTTTCACTGCCAAGGCCTGAGTTGCAGCTACTGCTCCAAGTCCCCCTGTTTTCCAGTGGAAAGCACCTGCATGGCACCTGCTAGTCTCTCTCCAGGGGGAAACAATTAAACTAAAATAGCTTGCTGCCCCTTTGTGTTTCTTGGTGGAATTGCAGGGGCTCCCATCCTTGCATGTCCTGTCTGGTCCGGTCGCTGCCGTCGCTTCGCCTCCTCTGTGGGTTGCAGCCAATCCAGCTCTCCACGCAAGATCCTGTTCCCCGTTGAAGCCAGCAGCAAAAGTCCCTGGTGCTCAGATACAACAGGGATGAGGAACGCGTTAGCACTGAGAGAGACGAAGTCTCTGTCGGTTTCAGTGACGCAGGATAGGGGCCCTAAGGGAGACCCATCAGAGGGCAAGGGCTGGGTTTTCCCTAGGTGGGCTTGGGTGATGCGGGATTGTTTGTCTCCATCCACACAGCTCCCCTTGCTATGTACTTGTTCTCGAGCCTCGAAATCCCAGCTCCACCTGTGACCAGCGCACTCCTCCCTCCTTCCATTCCTTTGATTTCATTGTAAATAAAATTTTGTATTTTCTCTGGACATTGCTAATAAATTGTTGCAAAACTGGGAGGATCCTTGTTTTTCTTTTTGACGGAGGCTAGGGTGGAGGCAGAACAACATACAGCAGGCTTTGTAGATTAGATTTTTTTTTTTAAAGGCCAGAAAGAACCTTTAGATTATAGATTCGAAGGCTATAAGGGACCACTGTGATCATCTAGTCTGACCTCCTGTATAAAACAGGCCAGATGATTTCATCTACTTACTGCGGGATTGCGCTGAGTAATTTGTGTTTGACTAAAGCATCTCTTCCCAGAAAGGCATCTAGGCTTGATTCGAAAACTTCAAGAGATGGAGAATCCACCTCGACTGTTAGTGGCGTTTGCCCAATAATCACCCTCAGAGTTAAAACAAAGTGTGCTGATTTCTCATTTGAATTTGTTTGGCTTTAACTTCCAGCCATTGGTTCCTGTCCTGCTTTTCTCTGCTAGACTAAAGAGCTCTTTAGCAGCTGATATTTTCTCCCCCTGAAGCATAGGCACCGGTTTCCTCCGGGCCCGGGGAGTACTCAACCCCTCGCTCAATCCCAGGCCCCGCCCCTTTTCCCAAGCCCCCACGCTCCCCGCCTCTTCCTGCCCTGCCCCCGTCCCACCGCTTCTAGCCCAGTTCTGCCTCCTCCCCTCAGCATGCCCCATCCCCCACTCCTCCCCCTCACTCTCAGAGCCTCCTGCACGCCGCGAAACAGCTGATCCTGGTAGGCAGTAGGCGCTGGGAGGGAGGGGGAGGTGCTGATCAGCGGGGCAGCAGGCGGGCAGGAGGCACGGGTGGGAGGGGGGAGCTGGCTGCCAGTGGGTGCTAAGCACCCACTAATTTTTTTCTGTGGGTGCTCCAGCGCCGGAGCACCCATGAAGTCGGTGCCTATGTCCGGAAGGTACAAATACACTAACCAAGTCGCCTCTTCTTTTAGATAATCTAAATTGCGCTCATCCATAGGCGCCAACTTTCCCCGGCACTGGTGGGTGCTCGCGCCCCCCTGGCCCCACCCCGACTCCATCCTTTCCCCGCTCCCATTCCAACCCCTTCCCCAAAGTCCCCGCCCCAACGCCACCCCCTCCATGCCTCTATTGGACCCCTTCCCCAAATCCCCGTCCTGGCCCCGCCTCTTCCCCGAGCGTGCCGCGTTCCCCCTTCTCCCCACTCCCTCCCAGCACTTGCTGCGCGAATCAGCTGTTTCGCGGCGCAAGGGCTGAGAGACAGGGGGGAAAAGCGGGCACGCGGTGCGCCCAGGGGAGGAGGCACAGCGGAGGCGGAGGTGAGCTGGGACGGGGGGGCGGGGAGCTGCCGGTGGGTGCTAAGCACCCACCAATTTTTCCCCGTGTGTGCTCCAGCCCCGGAGCACCCATGGAGTCGGCGCCTATGAGCTCATATATATATATAATTTTATTCTCACAGCTAAATGACTGATCAAGTATTATTATTTTATCAACTACAGTTGGTTAATAACAGTAAAAGCATCCTGTTGGATTGGTTAATAGTTAAATCACACTGTCTGTGAATATCAAGTGCTGCAAACAGGGGCGGCTCTATGTCTTTTGCCGCCCCAAGCACGGCAGTCAGGCGGCTTTCGGCGGCGCGCCTGCGGGAGGTCCGCTGGTCCCGCGGCTTCGGCGTACCCGCCGCCAAATTGCCGCCAAAGCCGCGGGACCGGCGGACCTCCCACAGGCATGCCGCCGAAGGCTGCCTGACTGCCGCCCTCACAGTGACTGGCAGGCCGCCCTCCGTGGCTTGCCGCCCCAGGCACGCGCTTGGTGCGCTGGTGCCTGGAGCCGCCGCGGGCTGCAAGTTGCTGCAGGAGACTTTCAATAGCCACTTGCGGCTCTCAAGCCTCAGTCTACGTAACAGAGGTGTATATATATATATTGCAGTTATTAAATGTGAAACCTATCATGGGACAGAATTCCTAGAAAAGTAACTGACCTGGGTCATTGCCATATAAACATCAGTCCCTCCATTACCATATAGAAGAGGGATAATGAGGAACTCTCAGTGGTGAAGCCTGTTATGATCCTCAACAGAGTAAATTGCGGATGACTCAGGCTGCTTTCGACACACCCGGCTTCTTGAGTGGCGGTGTTTAATTAGCTCGGTTTCACCCTGGTTGTGCCAACGCAATATATAATAGCCGTTGATTCTCAGTGAGGGGAGGTGCGTGCCTGGGCTCAAAGGAACTGCCATCTGGGATCAAAGCAGTGGTAGGATCCTATGTCTGACAGAGGCCAGTATCAGCTGGTGGAAGAAATCCTAACATGTGAGTTAAGGGGTACCCTGTGTCTACTGGATTACAGGGTACACCCTGAAGCATGAGGGCTTATATCGCTGTGCACGGCGGGGTGTAGTACCCCTAGAAGGCCTGGTATGGAGCGGACAGCCAAGAGAGCTGGGGTGCAGTCAAGGAGCCCCTGGCTCTGGGCTATATAAACTGGAAAAGGAAGCTGAGCAAGGGAGGAGGGACTAGGCACCATGCTGGCTGCTATAGGGTCCGGTCATTAGCCTGGTCACTGGTCTGACCTGGGCCCTCGTGACTTTGTTCAGAGAAGTTTGGTTGCTCCAACTCAAGGCTCTGCGGTAAGGACCGTGTGATCTGGGTTGAGCGGCTCCTCCCTTGATGTGAGGCCGACGGGAAAGGGAGAAAGCCTGCCTGTTCAGTTTGCTAAACATAAAGGTACGGCTCCACTGTAATTAGACACCCGTGGCTGGCCCGTGCCAGCTGACTTGGGCTAGGAGCTTTTTCACTGCGGGGTAGACATTCGGGCTGTAGGAGCTTGCGAGGTGGACGTGTCCCAGAACTCAGACTTGCAGCCCCAGCCAGAATGTCTACACTGCAAATAAACAGCTCCTTACCCTGTGAGCAAGTCAGCTGGCACAGGCCAGCCGCATGTTTTTAATTGCAGTGTAGACGTACCCTAAGGCCTGGTCCCCACTAAGCCCCCACTTCGGACTAAGATACGTTAATAACGTAGCTGAATTCGAAGTACCTTAGTCCGAACTTACCGCGGGTCCAGACGCGGCAGGGAGGCTCCCCCATCCGCGTACTCCTCTCGGCGAGCTGGAGTACCGGCGTCGACGGCGAGCACTTCCGGGATCGATCCCAGAACATCGATTGCCTGCCGCCGGACCCTCCGGTAAGTGAAGACGTACCCTAAGAGAACTAGGAACTTTGCTAGCCGGGGTTGGTTCACAGGCCTTCTTAAAGGGGACATGTTTTTTTTTTTTTGTCCTCCCCTTTCTCAGATTCTGTATACGCTTCCCCATTTTTATTTACTCCTATTCAGTATAACAGCAGATGGTCTCATTTGCCACAGAATTCTCCAAACCGTCTCGAATCCTCCTTTACTTTAGTTCACAATATCTTAGGCCGGTGGTTCTCAACCAGGGGGTACATGTACCCCCGTGGGTACACTGAAGTCTTCCAGGGGGTACATCAATGCATCTAGATATTTGCCTAGTTTTACAACAGGCGACATAAAATGCACTAGTGAAGTCAGTGCAAACTAAAATTTCATAGAGACTTGTTTATACTGCTCTATATACTATCCACTGAAATGTAAGGAAATGAATTGGAATATAAATATTGGACTATTTTCTAATGCTATGGTAAAAGTGAGAAAGTCAGCAATTGTTCAGTACTAGTGCGAGATGACACTTTTGTATTTTGATGTCTGATTTTGTAGGCAAGTCGTTTTTAAGTGAGGTGAAACTTGGGGGCACGCAAGACAAATCAGACTCCTGAAAGGGGTACAGGAGTCTGGAAAAGTTGCGGCCAATGAGTTCCACTGGCGAATTGAAAAGAATTCCTTAAATGCACATAGCACTTTTCATCTCAGAGGATCCAAACCCCAAAGTCACTTTCCCCAGCCTCTGAAAGGCAGCTGCCTGGGGGTGGTGGAACACACCTGCAGTCTAAATAGCACAGCAATGCGAGATAGAAAATGAGAACAATATGGAATCCAGCTGAAACTAAAGGAGAAAAGGCATGGAAGTGTAACGCCAACAGACCCCGGTCGTCGTCAGGTGGGATTGAACCTGGGATCTCTGGAGCTTAGTGCATGAGCCTCTACTGCGTGAGCTAAAAACCTGGCTGTTAAGCAGACACATTAATTGCTCTCTTTAAGTGGTCTCGATGCCACTCGATGGGGCACAACACCACACCCAGGAGGTGTGAGGGTTACATATGCAGGATGGAATTACCAGCATTGCCATTTGGCTAAGGCACAATAATACCAACATGCAACTAGCGATAATTCACTGATTAACTGAACCAGTCCTGGGGAGTTAGCCCTGAGAAGAAAGGCAGATCCTGGGGGATTTGAGAGAAGCTGACTGAGTTGAGCAGGAGAATATTCCATTCGAATAACTTGATGCCACCTGTTAATTCTGGATTTATTGTGGTTAATACAACAGGAGCATCTACATGCCCTAACCAGGTTTGATTCCCCCATTTGTCACTTGCCTCACCCCCATGTTGAGACTGTAGGGGCTTAATAGGGCTTTTCCACTCCAATCTGTGATGCTAGTGTGCTTAACATTCCCGTAACAGGTGGATTTAAGCATGCATTATACTCAGGGGTTAGTTCTGATTTGGGAAGTTAGTGATACTCTACTCAAGCTCGAGAAGGTTTTCTTTGCTGCCTGTTCCAATGCCCCCTGTAGCCACTGGGGCCCAGATTCTCAAAGCAGGTATTTAGATTCCTAACTGTGGTTGCATTCAGTGAGAATTAGGCACCTAAATCGTCATTGGATCAGGTTTATAGGGACCTGAATGGTGTGGGAACACTTTGTGGTTTCCCCTAACCCTCTTCCCCTATGTGATGGGGCATCTGCCTCACACTGGCCCATAAGGGATTAATAGAGCCCTAGGGAGGCTGCGCAGGAGGCAGCCAATTAGAGATGGGCTGCGAGAAGCAACCAATCAGGGCCAGGCAGGCCCATATAAGGACTAGAGCAGCTTCAGTTGCTCCCTGGAGCTTGAGGAGGGAGGACTGGTGACCTTGCAGGAGGAAGAAAGCTAGC